CTTGGAGTACAGAGAAACAGAGTCGTGTCTCACGCTCGTCCACCGAAGCCGAGTATAGAGCTCTCTCGGCCGCAGCAGCTGAGGTAATGTGGCTCACCTATTTGTTTGACATTTTACAGATCAAGCTCCCTCCTCCACAGCTTCTATGCGACAACCAGTCCACCATCTGTTTGACTAAGAATCCGGTCTTCCATAAACGCATGAAACATGTCGGAACTGATTGTCACTTTGTACGAGAACAAGTAATCGAAGAGAAAATGACGGTCTCTTATGTTCCTTCAAATGAGCAGCTGGCAGACCTTCTCACAAAAGCTCTTGCCTCGCCACGCTACACTGCACTTGTTGCCAAGCTTCCTCTCGTTTCACGGCGTTCAGCTTGAGGGGGGATGTTAGACATATATGGAAAGAAGTCTAGTTATAGCAGAATTGTATTTATGTTAGTTTACATATTTGGTGAATCCTAGTCCATGTAGGGATCCTCACCTATATAAACATCCTTGTACACAATTATTCTTTAAGAGTGAATTCATAAATCAACAGTATGTAAATAGGTATACATTAAACCAAACCCTATTTCATCCATCTGAAAATTTATTCTTGTTTCATTTTAATTGGTCAACATTTATTCTTATTTTATGAGTATGTGAAAAGGTATACTACGTATTATTTTTGATATAAATTTAATATTAATAGATTTATTTTAAAATTTAATTTTGGAATATCATTTTTTTATATAACTATTGATCGATATTAATTTTAAAATATTAATTATATTAAAAACCACTAAAAAGTAAAATGAGAAAAATTATTTCAGACAAAGAATACAAAATTTTATTTAAGCCCCTCAATGCAACTAGGTACAATGAGTTGGAGAGAGGCATCGATGAAAATAACCCCCATAAGAAGAGCAAGTTGCTAAGGTAGGCTTATTGTTTTGAGTTGTAATGTCCAAGCGCACCAGCTCCACGTCCTCACACGGCTTGTCTTTGCTGCAATCGATATTTACAGAGACTTCATCTCCTGTGGTGCCAACAATGTTTATGAACTTTACCCTTGAAATTCCAACTTGAGATTCTCCCTGTTAATAGATTCATCAATGAAGTCATTTCAGATTAAATACTTACACATGACCCATGCATGTGGCCCAACAAACTTTTGAAGCCTTTATTTTTTAAACATTATTTAAGCATAAATTAGTACTTATTTTTTCTATAATAGATTATATCTTTTGGTATGATGTGAAATGTACGTTATTAATAAATAAATGTAATTAAGTGATTTTTATTGATTTTTTGGGTGGATGAAAAGAAAAATATGAAATATTTTATGAGATGGAGGGAGTAAGTCACAAGGATACACATACTTATATAGAAATTTCTTTTAAAGTTTTGGTTAGGTTTTGAGATTAAAACTAAATTTATATAGAGAAATACGATTTATAAGTGCATAAAAATTCTAAACCTCTGAAAATCGATATATAAAAAAAAGTAGTATACAATAAAAAGGTGTAAGAAAAAAATACTCCATCCATTTTCGATGAACTTGGACAATTTCACTTCACATAGTTTAAGGGAAGTGTTAAAAGTGTAAACAATGTGATTAGAATTTTTTAAGAACAAAGAAATTTTATGAGCTGTACACTCTTTTTCTTCTAAGAAAAGTGAAGTTTATTTGAATTTTTCAAAGGGAAATGCTTGGTTCACAAACTCAAACTTCACAAATTTTACAAACTTACCATTTGTGAACTTAAATAAAGAAAATTAAATAGTCTAAAATAATTTTAAAATGAGAATTTAAATCATATATAGTAAGTTTGTGAAGTTTGTGATCATTCTGTTTGTGAACGTAGCATTGCCCTTTTTCAAAAGAACAAAAAAGAAAAACGAAGATGTTTACATAACGGAGGAAATGATGATTTAATTAGATTTGTTTTTTCAAAAAAAATATTTTGTATTACTCCCTTTGTCCCACTATTTTTGTTTTTTACCTTTTTAGTCTGTCCCACTATTTTTTCTCATACCACACTTGGTCATAATTTTGCGAGTCAAATTTACTTTTACTTCATCTCAATATCTTTTCTTTAATTTTTAACATCAGCATCAAGCACACAATCTTATATTTTTTAATATTCATTTCAATCTCTCATGGTCCAAAAATAGTGTAACTCGAACAAATTAATATTCTATGATGGATGGAGTAACGAATGTGTAGATAGAAGAGAATGCATATATGATATATGTACGTACGCACCTTATGTTGACACTCATTATTAGGGCAATAATGTTGGTCCACAACAATAGGATTGCTGACTCCATTCAAAACAATGTCCCGAAAGGTGACATTAAATAGCTTGCTCGGAGGAGAGGGCGCCCAAGTCTTTATCCTAACCCCATTGGTGGTGCCCGTGAGAGTTGAGTTCCTGACTAGTATCCCCCTCACATCCTCTTCCTCCTCGTACTTGCCAAGGCTCCCAATGCTGATGCCATGGCCAGGACCACACCTCACATCGTACACCTCCATGTCATTGCTCCCTTGCCCGAACGAGATGCAGTCGTCCCCGGTGCTGATGCCCAGGTTGTGGGCCCGCACGCCACTTGACCGTTCTATGTGGATCCCGTCTGTGTTGAGGCTGTGTTCGGGCGCATATATTGTCACCCCCGCTATCTCAATGTCCTCGCTGTTGTCGACTATGATGTGAAAAAACTTGCTGTTGATTGAGCTTATCCCCTCTATTACTCCATTGCTTACATCATTGAGTTTTATATTCTATTTATTCCAACACAATAAAAAATATTACATATGATATAATGCATGTTGATATTAATTAATTTCTTCTACCATTTTCGAAATTAAAGTGCATGTCTAGGAAAAACTTGTTTGTCAAACCCGACGAGTTTCTAGCATTTATGTTACGGAGTATAATAAAATTAGAACTAGAACTGTATGTCAAACACTCTATCAAGGAACCAACTCAACCAAAAGCTCAAGCTTGTGGTTGTGGCCCTGGAATGGTTGTTATATACTCTAACACGCCCCCTCACGTGCAGGCGTGATCTCTTTGAGCCTTGCACGTGAAACCTTAATTTTTTTAAACTGTGTGGCGCTGAGTTTCGAACATGTGACATCTTAGTCAACAAGGCTCTGATACCATGTCAAGGAACCAACTCAACCAAAAGCTCAAGCTTGTGGTTGTGGCCCTGGAATGGTTGTTATATACTCTAACACACTCTTTACGAAGAAAAAAGAAACCAAAAAAAGAGAAAGATATACTCCCTCCCTCCCTAAATAAACTTCTCCTTTCGTTTTTTTTTTGTCTCCAAATAAACTTCTCTTCTCCCTTAAAAAATCCCTTTTACCTCTTACTTTTTCATACCCTATCTATCACATCATACCTTTTTACTAATAATCTACATATCACATCATACTTTTACACATCACATCAAGGATATTTTTGGAAAGTCGACACAAAAATATCCCTCCCTTAAATCCTCAAAAAGTCAAAAAAGAAAGTTTATTTAGGGACGTAGGGAGTACTAAAAAAGAATAGACAGAAAGAAGTGAATATATACCGCCGGAAAAGGGATGCAATACTTCTGAGTTTTGCAGGGGTTAACACTCCATGCAAATGCACCCTGACCGTCAAACGTGCCGGTGCCGGTGACCGTCAACTGCCGCAGATGGTTGAACAATACCCAATAATCCGGTTGCTGGCCGCCGTCCGTGAGGAAGGACTTCTCGGGGGCCCTCACCACGCCGTTAACCACCAATATGATCGGACCGGCGCACGGGCCGCTCAACGTCACCAGGTTCAGAAAGAATGCGCCGCGCCGTTTTGGGATGACCACCCTGCTGCCGTAGTCCTTGCATGCTAGTCCCCATGCACTTAGCAATGCCTATATGAATTAACTTTAGTTAAATATATGTATTATTGTATTAAGTTTCAATTTGAAAAAAAAAAATTACAATTTAAACACACTTAATTTAAGAAATAAATGGTTGAAAAATAAAATTAATATATCCCAAAAATAAACTCACACTTATTTTTCATATGTCCAAAAATGGATTTCAGACTTCCCTACTTTTAGTTAAGAAAGAATTATGTGACTCACAATATTTTTTTTTCATAATAAACTCATACCACATACTCCCTGTTCCTGAATATTTATCTATTTTTGTTTTTCGGTCAAAATTGGTAAAATTTAACCTCAAATTAAATAAAAATGATATTAGATATTGATAAAAGATAGTTTTATTAGATATATTATATCAAATATTTTCAAAATATTATTTTGTATAATTAATATACAATATATATTTTATTTAAATATAAGTCGAAGGTTGAAAATGATTGACCGAATCAAAATTGGACAAATACTCAGGGACGGATCGGAGGTAGTACTATTTAGAAATATTTGCACTACATAGCACTAAAACTTAAGTCATTTCCCTAAATAACACTTAAACTATTTTATTTCTAAATATCAATTAATAATGTCCAGTGATGACGAACATTTACTTGAATAATGACTAAAAGTACTACATTGGGAAAAATACACATGTGATGCTATTTAGGGAAAGTCAATATGTTTTAGTGCTATTTACGTAAATTTTCCGTACTATTTATTTTTTAACATTTTTTTAAAAACCGCGATGTGATTGAAACTATATGATTTTAATTTGGGGACATGGGAGGTATGAATTTTGGATATGTAACAAAGAAACTAAACAAAATTTTTGATTCGAAAGTCAATTTTGCACACTTAATAAATTGTGGGAAAGTGACAGTATATTTATATACTAAAATTATCCAAAGATAACGCACTAAAGTCCCAATAAAGAAAAATAATCATGTTTAAATAGGACTAAAACAAACTCCTTCTATTTCATATTTTTCTTTAATTTCTATTTTAACTTTTGTAGTTAATATTTTTACATATACATGTAAAAATACATATTTTGGGTTACAGAAAAATACATTGAGATATGATATACTCCCTCCGTCCGGATTATATGTTCCCAGTTTGACTTTTGGTCATTTTTAGTGAGTGTTGACTAATGAGTTAGATTGCCCAAAATATCCCTACCCCCACACCAAAATATCTCTGCAACCCTCAACACCACAACCACCCCAATCCCCATCCCCACCGCCCCAA